GCTAACTAACAACATTACTAATGGGAAAGAGAGGCAGAAATATGTGTGCAATCTAAGGGTTTAAAAAAAACAATCTATATACCGTACTTACAATTTATTTGAATGGGCCTACTTTTGACAAATCATGCCATTAGACCTATTAATAAAACGTTTTTGTATGTTGCTCCCCGTGTAAATGTACTTCACTCCCTGAATTCCCAAGCTCTACTTCCCTGTAAAACGTCCCCTGTTGCCCCCTATACTTTTTTAAACAGTGCAGGCTCAATAAAACTAGCCCTGAACTTAGTGTCATTACTGTCAATGAGGTGAACAACAGGCCCTGGCTATTATTGGAGGTCTTACACATGCATTATTGCGGCATCTATTTGTAATCTAAAGATCTCTCCCCCACTTTCCCTCCCTCCCTCCCTCTCTGCTTCTCTCCTCCTCTGTGGCTGACTGACAGCAGGGCAGGAATAAGCTGAACCACACACTTCAGCTACAGTCAGCTACAGCATGAGGAGCGAGACAGAAAAAGAGAGGGGGGGGAAGTTGAGGTATGCAGCACTAGATACAGCATCAGTGACAGGAGCATGTTTGGGCATCAGATTACGCTATTTTAGGAAGAAACTGTCAATGTTTCTCAAAAGGCATGTCAACGGCGGTGATCAGAGGAGACCTACATTACGCTTTACTCTGCAGGGGATGTAAGATAGGACTGGTTTTGTACTTTTTAAGAAGGGAGTGTGAGCCGTCCAAACTTCAGTGATGTTTCTCTGAGCGAGGGAAAGGCAGTGAAGGCCAGTGGAGCTCAGTGGAGACAGATATGTGGTTTGAGTAGCTCAAGAAAGAACAAAGACTCCCTATCAATTTCTAAACTACTGTAGCCTTGGATTCCACATTAGTTTGTACTCCGTTCTCTCACAGCAGATGTCGCAGACGTTTCTACACAGTCTGATCTGTTTTGCTTCTTAAGTTTTGGTCAGAGGATTGGATTGAGGGTGAGGTGGAAAAAGTGGAAAATTAAATGTTCTTAAAACTCATGGAATGCATTCACAATTACGCATTCGAGGGGGAAACGTATTTCCTCCTGGACTAGTTTTAAACGTGTGGTTAATCTCCAACAAAAACTCAACAAAACTGCTTGGTTAGGTCTAGTAAAATATCATGGGATTGGCCTGACATAAAAGTATTTGTTCCGTTATTAAAGTTAAGACGTGAACCAAACAAAGTCCTAACGGTTTCAAAAGGGACTCGAACAGCTGGTTGAAGGTCCTGTGTATGTTGACCCGCCTATACACTATGATCTCCGTCTTGCACAAACCTACATGGAATTGTAATTTGACGTTGATTAAAAAGAATCCTGACTGTACTCACCAACGCATTAGCTCGCTTCGGAAAAAGATGACTGCCTCAATTATTTCTCCCAGTGAAGGGGTCTTCTAACTTCTGACTGCTGTAAACAAATATATCAAAACATGAACCTAACAACCTGTTGTTTTAAACAGATCTAATATAACATATCAGTGTGCTTTGAGGTTAACAGAGCTGACATCCTGTGGCTTCTACATATTCGTGTAGCCCAAAAGATATCAAGAAAACATCTTGAAAAGTCTGTCAGACAGGTGCTCAAGGCAAGTCAACTGAGGGATGTAGCTTTAATGGACACTTGTTTGCTGTCCTATATTACTGTTTGCATTCTGCAATGATGTTACACTAGCAAGTGGAACCAGTAGCACAGAGGTTCTTCCAGAAAAGCTTAGTAAATGGTCATAATGTAATGTAAGCTTTACATTGTAATTGTTCTGCACTCTAGCTGTAGCAAATGCTTGTTTGTCTTGATAAACACAATATAAAAAATATATAAGAGTTGAGTTTTGGCATGATCAAATATTCAACAAGTTTGTTGAGCTTTTAGTACCTGTGCCACCGAGTACAAAACAGCTGCAATGTTGTTGTTCCTTACCAAGATGTATCAAGCTCTACTATCCCTCCTCATTCAGCATTTAACACGGAACACTCTATATCACTGGGTTATCAAAGTCAGTGAGAGGGGACAGAAGCACCTCATGCTAATGGCTACTCACATTCAAGAGTTTCCAAAATAACAGATAACAATTTGACCATAAAACTGTATGAAATCAAACGTAAAAACACAATTCTCAGCTCAAGAAAACAGCAACACAGGTTTTCACATATAATTAAAAAAAAGCTGATATTAGCCACTGTAGAAGAAAGCATGACCGTGATAAAAGTGTGTTAAATAGGGGTGCGTACAGAAGTGGGCATTACAACAGATCGACTGAGATTCTGTGATTGGCTGTGCTCAGGGTGTGTGTTTGCTGACACGCCCCTTTCCTCATCCCATCTTTAAACTGCAGTTACTTCTGTCCAAATTCTTCTCCAATATCCTCTCATGCGCGTCTCCGGCCTGATCACCGGCCAAGAGTCGTAGCTCACTCGCCGGCTGCTCTGACATTTGTGCATCCGCCCAATGAAAAGTGTCAGTGTGGCAACGGAGAGGAGGCCGGGCTAATAAGCAGTTGTTGTTGGCATTTTGCAGAGGGGGATTATTTTGTAACACTTTACAAGAGGTTTCTGTATCTTACATAGATTACACATAGACTTGTGAAATATGAAATAAGGTTTTCCTCAACAAAAGATATGTTTAGTCAACTAACACAAAATATAGATTATTTGGGTTTCTTGATATGAAGGAATAAAACAAAAGAGCCACTTTAAATCTTGCGTTGACTATACGTTTCTTGGAAGGAGAAAAGCATTTTAAAAAGACTGCAACTTGCAGAAATAGTAGTTGGCTAAGATCATAATGGCCAATTATTCAATGGATAAAGGCTATCCATGTTAAAATATGTGTTTCCTGTTGAACTAGGTCCTGACTACTTCATCATAGCATTTTTCTCTGAAGAAATGGAGTGGAAATATTTTTCATGAAACATTCAGGGCTACCAATTGCAAGTGATATGTTTTTTTGGTTGACTGTGTGACTAATTTGGGCCTTAGATGTTGTATTTCTTTGTTAAGTTTTGTCAGATGAATCCAGCCAACCCTATGAAAGAAATGGAGGTGACAAAAGCTGTGTTCCTATAACGCTGTGGACATTCAGAGGCCACTGGTTGCCACAGCGCATGTTATGTGTCAGCAGCACACACTCTGCAGTCTCTAATTAGGTTGAGTTTTCTCCCTGTTTCTCTTTCGGTGTGTGTGTGTGTGTGTGTGTGTGTGTGTGTGTGTGTGTGTGTGTGTGTGTGTGTGTGTGTGTGTGTGTGTGTGTGTGTGTGTGTGTGTGTGTGTGTGTGTGTGTGTTAGCGTGTGCGCGGGATGATTCAGCTCATAAGTGGATATCTCCTCTCCTGAGCTTACGCCTTGCCTGCACAAATGGGCTTTACACAGAAGCCTGATTGCAACAGCCCTGTCATAAATAAATGACTGGATAATTTTAGCATGACACAGAGGTAAAAATAGAACATCACGCTGTTAGCTCAAACGCTGGATGAACCCTTTGTTGAGACTTCTGAGTTACTTCCTGTCAGGATTGAACACTTTACAGGTGCCAGTGGTTTGCATGGAAATGACGGTGATTCACGGTTTGAACCAAATGAGTGTGTGTTTAACCGCATTGTTTCAAAGGTTATGTATTTAAATGACCATAACAAAGGTGATGATGTCCACAGTGATGGTCTTAAGGCTTGTATTGGGGAAATGTTCAATATTTCCACAGTTAAAATGTAATTCCCCTCTCTTTTGTGTAGCAGGGGAAATCCAGGTAGTGTACTTCTTGCCACATAGGTGGTCACAGGATTGCACTGTATAGTTAAAAGTATAAGATACCTGAGAGTAACTAACAGATGTAATGATGTACACGTATCAGTGTCTAGAGCTCCGTTTATGTGTTATACGAACTAAGTAGACGGTTCTGAAACTTTTCTTTTCCCTTTTGTAAGTAAAGGGTCAATTCAAGTTTTTTTTACCTCTCTGACGGAGAGAAACCAAATGTCAGAAAGTAAAGAGAAAAAGTGCTCAACCCTCATCTTGAATCTTTTTACCTTGTCTCGTATTCAGATTGTTCTTTTCATAAAAGCCATCCTGTTGACAGCAACTTCAACAGACAGGCCAGCTGCTCTACATTTAGTTTTAGCCACTTCTCATAGAAATTAGTTATTTAAAACCCAGGAAGTGCTACGGGAGTTTCTGTTTTTAGGGGTAGGCTAATGCAAGAAAAAGAGCAACATTTTAGATGGCAATGGTGGAAACCTGCAACAAGTTGTGACATTTTAACAGTTACCATCACTGCAGTCATCAATGGCACAGTCTGATATAACAGCAGCAGATCTGACATGTACAACTGGCTGTCGGTAACTTTCCCGTCACATGTTCTGCCTATATCACACACACACCCACACACACACACACACACACACACACACACCCCACACACACACACACACACACACACACACACACACACACACACACACACACACACACACACACACACACACACACACACAAACAGCTGTTCAACCTTAAGCCTACACATGATGCAGACAGTGATGATGTGATGATGCAGATCTCACACTGAACTTTTAGTCTCCCCTGATCATCAGGGCTTTTGAAGGAACCTGTTTGTGGTTTAACCCGGGTTAAACTCTCTCACACACACACACACACACAGACACACACACACACACACACACACACACACACACACACACACACACACACACACACACACACACACACACACACACACACACACACACACACACACACGCTGCCTTGCTTATCATTTCAGTTTGGGTTATAAAGGATTAAAAAGTGTCAACCGGCTAACGCGCATGCACATGTGTACGCACGCTGAAACACTGTATAGACTCAACACGTGCACGCGCAGCCAGAGAGCGGTGACTGTCTCGTTACATCGCCATGGCAGCCTCAGTGGCCCTATGGTGCGGTGTGAGTGTTGGGCAGGTGGAGAGGGGGGAAAGCCTTAAACTTACCGCAGTCCTCGCACAACACTCGCTCCACATCCTTCTTCAGCTCCGGCTCGCTGGCGTCCACAGGGGCGTACGATGCCTTGAATACCAAGGGCTCTGCTGTGGGGTCCATGAAAAAGATATATCTGTGGTCCTTCTCCACCGTGGTGCACGGGGCCTCGGAGCCGAAGTCCCCGACGGTCACGAGCTGCTCCCTCTCGAGGCCGCCGCTGTTGACGGGCCACACGTCCAGCACTTTGACATTCACACTGTAGGGCTCCCGGGAGGAGACGTTCTCCGGGGAGGAGCGCACCTCGCCCTCGATGACCACGGCGGATCGGTACGCCTGGTCCTGGAGGGAGTTGAGACTCGGGGCGTAACAGGCGAAGGAGACCCCGATGACCAGCATGGAGAAATGCACTGGATCAAGCCTCATGCCGTCAGCCTGTGCTGTGCTGCAGTGCTGCTGGGCGGCGGAGCGAGCTGGAAGAGAGAGACGGCGGCGAACGGGCTCCGGCAGAGCAGGCAGGGCAGAGCGGCAGACCTTGTGGAAGTGTCCATGCCATCTGTGTCTGCCGCTGCTCTCCCCATACGGCTGCTGGCCTCGGATGGGGGACACACACACCAGCCTAGGAACCGGAAACGGCCCGCTTCTGCATGCTTAAAAATGTGATTGCTGCATTCTCCTTCACCAACCACCCTCCCCCTCTTATCTCCCCTTTTCCTGAAAGGCAAAGCAAGACTCGTAAATTAGCCTCCTCTCGAATCCAGGGCTGAAACCTGGACCTCTCTCTCTCTCTCTCTCTCTCTCTCTCTCTCTCTCTCTTCTCTCTTTCTCTCTCTCTCTCTCTCTCTCTCTCTCTCTCTCTCTCTCTCTCTCTCTCTCTCTCTCTCTCTCTCTCTCTCTCTCTCTCTCTCTCTCTCTCTCTCTTTCGCTCTCTCTCTCACTCTCTATCCAGCTAATAGGCTAGCATCGCATGGGTGGGCGCATTGCCTCTGGTATGAAAAAAAGCAGCTTGCGCGTACAGAGGAATCACAAGAAACTATACGCACTCCACGCACACGCAAACGCAAGGTCGGGTCCCTTATCCACTTATTACGCTCGTGAAAATAGTTCCTCTCCTGTAAGCAAAACAATAAATTTAAAAAAGAACAGAAAAACCGGGGGAGGAAGAGACGGACAGGATGAGATAGCAGCGGTTATCCGGTGAGGCGATGCAACAGTAGCGCGCACCCTCCAGACGCGTCCCCTGCGCCCCTCATCATACGCGAGCAGCTTACGTGAGCAAACATCACCTGCCCGGTCACTGGCGTCGGCTCGCCACGTCCTGCGCAAACACCCTAATGACCCGGGCACCCACCGGCACACCGCCACCGACCCAACCGGCGTGTGAGCATGCCGGCCGCCTGAGTTAAACCTCTGCGGGTGGTGGGTGCGGGAGAAATCACGCAAGCGGTGCACCGTGCGTCTGTAGCCAAGCCCTGCGCGGCTCCCACTGTGGATCTCGTGCGAGAAGTGCAAGAGAGGCTATAGGCGACTGTTACACACACTGCGGATAGTTGTCGCGATGACTAACGCTGCGAAATTCTCTCAATGGATTCCTCAGCGTAGCGAACCGAGCTGCGAGTTACGAGACTTCAGCTTTAAATGTCCTCACTCATATATACGCACGCTGCAGGAAAACACACCCAAAAGCTGACATTTACCACCCTATGCGAGTCAGTGCAGTTCACTATGCTATGAGAAACTGTGCAGTTGTACGACTCTGTAATGCAACAAGTGGGGGCATCAGTTAGCCCAACCTAAAGGTGCTATGCTGGAAAGATATTCTACGCAAATGTGTTGCCAATCCTGCTCAGCTACAGCTAATAAAACCACTTTTTTCATTGAACACATCTCCACCAATGAAATGCGAGCTTTACACAATATGCTCAGGCTTTTTTTTATGGTGACCACATGTATCCCCCTCCCTCCTCAGCAGAACCAGCCCCTGCTTCCATCTGTGTATCAATCAATCAAGCCATTCATAAGATTCTCCTTTCACTCTCAGGAGCCGCACGCCCTTCTGCAAGGTCAGGAAGACTTTCATTGTCCATGCTGAGAAAGGGATCAAATATAATGTCATATAGGGGACACATGGGCTGCATTTTTCTTACTATAGATGATGAAGAAAATGTGAGAGGCCATTTCATCACATATGCACCTACATGATGGCCTCACACACCATGCAGTTTCTCAAGCAGAAGGGCCATCACGAGCCATACCCTGTCCATGGCGCTGAATGGCTTGACAGGTTTAGTGCTGGCCCCAACAAAGCCAGTCACATGACACCTCGTAGAGATTGAAGGCCAATATGGTTTGTTGACTAAAATATTAACCCAAGTTCCAAAGGGTCAAGTCTTTCAGATAAAGTAAAAAGCCGTTTCTGTCCTGTTTGCTGTCCAAGGTGCTGAACGCTAAGCGTGGAGGTTCATCTTCAAATTGTGATGGTTCTTTATTCCTATGATTGCTTTTCCAGTCCTGGGATTACCAAAGCATTTGAAGAGTATGTGATGTGTTCAGTGACCCACTCCCTTTCTCCGCCCACTGCCCACCCATTAACTGATATGTCTCTCCTTCATCCATTCAAGCGCTCATGTATTCATTAGAGAAACCCATTCAGGGACATCATTCACAATTTAGGAATTTCCAAATTAGCCTTGAGAGCAAATCATTTGTTGACAAAGTGAAGGCGAGGAAAACCCCTTTCCTGCTGACTAACCCTGGGGGAGGACTGCCACCAATTGCCGTTTCCCCTGGTACTAACGCTTGGAATGATCAGAGGGGCTGTTTTTGGAGATGCACCTTCATTTCAGCAGGTTGTTGATGAGGTATATCATGGCACTTTATCCAAAATACTTTACCATGCGTCTGTCAGGATGTCTTTGCAAACTTGTCCCTGATTCCCTTTTCCACTCATCTCTCCATTTTCTACACTGTAAGTAATACTCCAAAGCAAACTCAATTCAATCTGTTTTTATGCCCACCCACCGCTGTCCGTGGTGCTGACAGACACCAGTGACTTATCCACTCAAAAAACAACGATGGACATGACTGGATATGCTAACAGGTCAACGGCCCTTCTTTTACCAGCTCAACTCAACAGATCTCAAATGAGTGTATGAGATATTTGTGAGTCTTCTTTTTGTGAATTGTATTATTAATGATGATGATTTTTTCTATATATATATTTCATTTAGGAAATCTGCAAAAAGAAAAAAGGCTGATCCATTTACAATTAAAACACTTGTTTTTTTGTTCCTTTCCTAGATTATATCAATAATATTTCACAGCCTTCAAATCCTACTAAACTGTCATCATATCAACATCAAGTCACCCACATCATTCTACCATGCCTTCATGGGCCTAAACACCTCATAACATTGCCTGGTATGTTTTATTGTTATTGTGGTGGTACTTTACATGACCCTTATAAACAGGATTCATTCTCACTTGAATAACTAATACACTGGAAATACGCATGCTAAAAGAAAGAACAACACGTGACTAATCTGAACTCATATTGCATGAAAAGATCATTGTAAATCAGCATAATTCTAAAACCTGTTAAGATAATATCATGCCTTGGTTGTATATTTAATGTACATTCAAAAATGAATATTAATGACATCTTGTATGTCCAATATAGTAGTTTTTATCCAACAGTTGGCGTTTTGCTTCTTCTTTTAAGCTGACAAACCCTTCCAAGGCCATTGAGAAATAGTGGCAGGCAAGCAAGTCCAATCACAGGGTAATGATTCATGATGCTTCACAGTGAATCAGCCCCTCCCTCAGACAGCTATCATCCACTGTTCATTCAGAAATGTATCTTTTCCCTGGCTCTCTCTATTTATGTGTCCTTCTTAAGAGACTGTCCATGATCGCTGTCCGTGGTGCTGCAATACCCAAACCAGGTAGGAATTTTATTCCAGTCCTGTCATTACTTTTTCAACAGGATGCAAACAGGTGTTATTTATGTACTTCAATGTGTAGCCATTATCAAGCTATTTATCTATCCATCTATCTATCTATCTATCTATCTATCTATCTATCTATCTATCTATCTATGTTTGATGTTAGTACTGCAGTGTTTGAGGCTCACATGGGTGGGGGTTAACTTTCTGTTGCAATCGTTGCAATATACGGCGAAACAGAAGGATGAAGTGAAAATTGTGTGAAACGTTGTAAAACCAGAGTGAGTGTCTTGAACGCAGCCCGCTTTCAGTACAGCAGCACCGAGCACAGCTACTTTCCTTTTTTCAACCTCTTCTCTCTTCTCGTCTCGCGATAGAGCGGCGGAGTGGTTTGACGGGCAGTCGAGGTTGCAGCAGGCAGAGGGAGACGGTGGAAGGTAAAGCAGGGAGGCAGCATCATGGCGGACAGAGACAGTGGCAGTGACCACGGAGGGCCCACCGCGGGCCCCGGCTCGCTGCCCCCGGGTGCGATGGGTGCTATGTCCCGGCTGCAGCACGACACCGAGGAGCTCGCCTCGAAGCGCGTCGACATCCAAAACAAGCGCTTCTACCTTGACGTGAAGCAGAATGTTAAAGGCCGCTTCCTAAAGATAGCCGAGGTCGGGGCTGGTGGAAACAAGAGCCGCCTCACTCTCTCTATGTCGGTGGCCGTAGAGTTCCGCGATTATCTCGGGGACTTTATCGAACATTACGCCCAGCTGGGCCCGAGCAACCCGGACATAGTGCAGGATGAGCCGCGGCGGGCGCTCAAGAGCGAATTCCTGGTGCGGGAGAATCGGAAATATTACATGGATCTGAAAGAGAACCAGAGGGGGCGGTTCCTAAGGATCCGGCAGACCGTTAATCGGGGGCCCGGATTGGGAAGCGCGCAAGGCCAGACCATCGCTCTGCCGGCGCAGGGTCTCATCGAGTTCCGCGACGCTTTGGCCAAACTCATCGACGACTACGGTGTGGACGAGGAGCCGGCGGAGCTCCCGGAGGGCACCTCTCTGACGGTCGACAACAAGCGCTTCTTCTTCGACGTGGGCTCCAATAAGTACGGGGTCTTCATGAGGGTCAGCGAGGTGAAGCCCACGTACCGGAACTCCATCACGGTTCCGTGCAAAGTGTGGTCCAAATTCGGCAACACCTTCAGCAAATACGCGGATGAGATGAGGAAGATCCAGGAGAGGAGTAGAGAGAAACGGGCCTCCGAACTGCTACCTGAGGGCCCGCTCGGCGGAGATGACGGCGACGATGACTGACGCGGATCTTAGGAGGGCCGGAGTGAAACGACAAACTGGACTCTGAGAGAAAAACGAGACTTTTAACTGTAAAATAGAAAGATAAATTTCCAAGGGAATCACCCCACACACACAACCTCCACAGACATGGCAGCACCTCTGCTGTCTCCTCGCTCATTTTACTGGATGTCACCCCACTTACCACCATGTAACAGTAAGCCGCTGCTATCAAGGATTGAACTGTAAGATATGAACTGTTTCCTATACTTGATTTAAATGACAATGAACAGAGTGTTTATATCTCTATCAAACGACAGATTTTGCACACCTCAAAGCTATTTCGAAAAAAAAGAAATGTTAAATGTTTTCAAACTGGTAATAATCTTATAGCCTATATATTAGTATATTATACTAAGATTTAATCACAGGTAAAAACCAGAGGTCTATTATATAAAATGACAGTCTTCATGTAGAAAGAGTATTTGACATCAGCACAAAGAGAATATATTATGGACTTTATGAAACCAAAATCTGATTCCAGATGTATAGTTTATTATAAAGGTACGCAGAATAAATATGAAAGCGCTCTAAAAGTGTATGAATTGCAGAACGCAGCACTACAGGCCTGTTAACATGTAAGCATGTGTGCATAGGCTCTTGTTTTGAAAAGAAGTTTGGCAAAGTAGGCTATAGTCTTTGGTTTGACCTAAAGCGTAGTAGGCTAATGAAAACATTTATATCACGCCATTGACTTGGAAAAGTTGAGACTCAAAAATAAAAAGCCTATTTTGTGGCCTAAAAAAAATGGGAGAAATCCATTTGTGAGCCACTATATTGAATTTCAACCCTCTCGCACCATGTCCATATAAACTTAAAAGAAAAAAAGTGCTAACTTAGATGTACTAATTATGATTTTGTGAATCAGCTGTAAAGAAAAAAATCCTGATTGAGACACCCACGTTTTCTGTGGGTTAAGTTTTTTCTTTGTTGTTTTCTTCCCTCTTGGGGGGTGGGGGGGTGCAAAAGTATAAAGGTCCACCTTATGGGAGCGCAAAAAAAGACGCGTTAGCACAGCGCGTGGCGAGGCTACGCGTCCTCTCTGACGCCATTACGACCCGTGCCTTATACACTCCACTCGTTTACGTGTTCTCACGTAGATGGTCCGTGACCTCGACCGCTGTACGTTTTCATTTACGAGTGCTGTTATGTAGGCCGGAATATAAACTCGCTGGGGCTGTGTTAGTTCACACCCCTGATGTGCATAGGTTGCAACACCGAGAGTAAGCTGGGAGTTATGCTGGGAGTTTGGGGGCCAGCGATGGTGGTGGGCAGAATCAGATAGATGAGGTGCTGTCGTCAGTGTGTCATGGCCCCCTGGAGCCCAGAATCCTTAGCGGCACCCCTGCCCTGGTGGCCTCTCACAGCAATGTGTGTGTACAGGAGTACACCAGGGTGGTCTTGCACACCATATGCACCATGAAACAAACAAAGTGAGGAACAGCTGAATGAATCTGTTGGTTAGAGCAGAGA